ACACTACCCATTCTTGGTGCACATCAAGAAAGAGGTGTCTTGCTCACACCATTAGGGCACCCTCTGAGCATCCACACTGAATTAGCATAGCATAGCACAGCCCTGTCAAGTTGCACCGCTATAGCTATGCACCGAGTCCCCACTCCCAGCCTCGCCCCTGTTCTGGCAGCAGGAGTAAGACCCTTTGCCCCTTTGCATGCAGTCGCTCATCCAGGCCTACGCACCCACACAGCGGTGGCTTAGCTTCCTCCCACTCCGTCCTCACCACCTGCTCACAGCTGGAGCCACAATCCCAAGCGGGGCTGGGCAGAAAGCAGCTTGCTGCTCCCCTCCGTGGAAAGAAAAAGCTGAGAGAAATCGGTGGGGAGAGCGGGGACGTAGCATTGTAAATCAAAGACCCTAGGTTCTTAGATTTCGGGATAATCTCAGCCAAGTTGCTTATGGCCTGTTCTTCCTCCCACTGAAGGCAATGCACTGAGTAGGAGCAGGACTCTCCAATGTCTCATGGCTCATTTATACGAGCACAACCAATTAGCTTTTAAGGTGAATTAGTTCAACTGCATTAAACCCCGGAGTAGACATGTTTATTCAAAAAAATCAGTGACCCAAGAGTATGTCTACACTGAAACCATGCAGGGTATTTAATCTGAATTAACTTCGAAAAGGGATTTATTGAATTGCATTAAAGCTTTGGATGAGCACTCATTGCAAATTTGAGCTGCCGGCTTTTGATTTATTTCAGGATGAGGTACATGAACCCCAGTGAAAGTGGAGTAAGATGCCTCACAACTGCCGTGGGGTAAGAGTGGGCACACACAGGCAGTTATTCTGAATTAGCCCACGTGCTGTATAGTGAGACAAACGAGTGTGCGACTATACAGCAGGTGGACTCATTCATCTGCATCATTTTTGTGTGGCTGTACCCTAAGTATGCATTTTTCTCTGCATAAAACAAGTCCTAAATGGCATTTATTTCATATGAGAAGTGAGCCAAACTACATCAAATCCAAGCCATTTTAATTTACAATCAGAATTGAAGATACATGGGCATTATTTCACTTTCCAGTCACCTTTGTGTAAGGTGGCTCCCACCCCCTTAGTTGCTCAGCCCATTCCCGCATGCTAGGAGTATCCACACAGGGAGTGAGCGCGGAGCAGCGAGTCCATGTCATGTCATATCCTGGCTCCCTGCACACCACCTTGTGTCTGCAGGCCTGCCCCAAAGGAAACCTCTTGGGCAATGCACTGGCTGAAAAAACAGTGGCAATACAACAGGACATGGGGTATCGAAAGTCTAGTCGTGATTTTGCCATTAGCCAGACCACGGGCAGTCGCTTCCTCTCTCTGTGCCACAGTTTTGTCCATCTGCAAGAACGAGAGAATGATACCGGCCTGCAGGGCAAAGTGCTTTGCAGATGAGATGAGCTTGTGATCAGAGTTACAGCAGGGAGGGTGGAAAACAAACCTGCTTTAATTATGAGTTGCTTAACAGCTGCCCAGGAGAGCAAACAGACTGTATTTGCTGCCCACCGTGATCTCTATTGCAACCCCTTACAGTGAGTCAAAAGCTCCCCATTTTAGGGAGTCATCAGAGACAGAGCCAGCCTGGTGTGCTCAGGAAGGAAAAACCCTTCTTGGGAAGGGATATTTCTGGGTTAAAACAGAGGCTAGCAGTCCTCCCTGCCTTTATCTCCCACTTGCCCTAATGAAAGTGTTTTGCTATTAGTGTGCAATCACTCTGCCCACTCACACCTCCACCCGAGACCAGCGCACTTCACTGCCCGCGCATGTAGTTTTTCTTCTTCTGGTTTTGCTTCAGTCGACGCTTTGAATTGCTGAATGGTGAGGTCTTGCAAAGCTCCTGACCGAAAAGGAAATGCAAGAAGCCGGTGGGGCAGCCAGGTGAGCAAAGCTGAATGCTGCAGTCGGCTGGTGAACAGCTCATGTCCTGGGGGCTGTAACGTTTCAGACGGGGAAGAGGAGCCCGGAGGCACAAGAAATAAAGCCATCATAGTAGCTGCTGAAACAGGAAAGAGACGAAAACTGACTGGGAGAGAACTGAAAGGAGAAGATCCCTGGAGACGCTGGCTAAGCGAAAACTGCTGGAAATCTTGGCTGTCCCGCACAGAGATGAACTTCTCCTCTATCTGGCTCCCATTCCTGTACTCTCCAGTCACCTCGTAATCTTTTTTAATGTGTCTATTCATCCTCTCAGCACTCCTGGGATGGAGGGCAGAGTGATTATCTGCATTTTACAGACGCGGCATGAAGCCCAGAGAGGGGTACGGCCAGATGCAAAAGAGGGCTTGGGCACCTGACACAGTGACTAAGACTAAGCCTGCAACCCCCCTAACCCTGGATGCACCCAACCCTCACCAAGCACCTCCCTGTTCGGCTTAGCAGGGCCCATCGCTTGTGGATGGCATAGCCTGTAGTTCTGCACATGCCCCAAATTGACCCAGGCCCAGCAGCTGGGCGACTGCCTCCTACCTAGACGCCACTGGGATCCCAACACTAGTAAAAGCCTACGTCCTCCAAGGGCCCTAATATAGCAGGCAGACTTAAAGTACAGTACTGTCATCAGGCCCCAGTTGTCTGCCCCCTGTATAACAGCCTTCTGCTTAGGGTATTTGCCCAGAAAATGGGAGACCTGATTCTAGCCCTTCCTCAGCCTGAGGGGCTTCACACCCGCTGCTCCCACGTCCCAGGAGAGAGCTCGATCAGGTCGGCCGTGGGGGCAACACCGTCCAACGTGTCCTGCTGCAGTTG